GATTTCTCCATTGCTCAAAAGTCAAAAATCATTGTTCATTGTCCATTGATTTGATGATTTGCTGCTATTTTGCTGTCATTCAGTCATTGAAACGGTAACATGTAATGTGTTTGTATTTTCAATTTTCAAAAAAAAAAAAAAAACTAAGTGGTGATGCCGTGATGGAGGTTCTTTAATGAATAAATGCAATTTAGGTTAAATTAATCTGGAATATTCTTGGATACTATTATGGTTTATTTAAATGTTCTTTAGTTTCTTTGTTTTTTTTTTAACATAAGCCGATAGGCAATTTTATGCATAAGAATAATCAAAGCTATAAAGTGTTTGCAGTAATCTTGATACAGGAGCTTTGTCTGTTAAGAAAAATGGCCAAAGATAATTAGATTGGTATGACTCCTTTGATTAGTTGATTCCAAAGATTGTATATTTTAGTCTTTTGAAAAAAAAAACAAACACTTTATAATTTTTTTTACGACGGATGTGGAATTGGAATATGAAACATCCCCTTGTTGGGGTTAATAGACAATTAATTAGGGTTAATCTTTTGCAATCAAATGATATGTGTATCGATGATGCTATAGATCAACTAAATGGACTTTTGTGTTTCTTTGAAGAATATAGAGAAAACGGATTTGAAAAGGCTTTAGATTATGCAAAAGAATTGGCTTTAGAAATGAACGTAAAACCTGAATTTCGTGAAAAACGTATCATTCAAAGAAATAGACGATATGATGAAAATGTTGCTAATGAAACTATTAAAACTCCTATTCAGTTATTTAAAACTGATTACTTTTTATATATAGTAGATAAAGCCATTACTTCACTTAAAAATATATTTGAGCAATTTAACAAGTTCAAAAATATTTTTGGTTTTCTATTTAGTATAGAAAAATTAAAATCATTTGATGAAAATACATTAAAAGAACATCGTTTAAATCTTGAAAAATCTTTAAAGCATGATGATAGCTTAGATATTGATGGTCTAGATTTATTTCATGAACTAAAACTTTTAAGACATATTGTACATTTAGAACGTGATACAATTATTAATATACTTAATTACATTAAAAAGTTTAATTCTTTTTCAAATGCATATGTTGCCTATAGGATTATATTAACTATTTCTGTAACTGTTGTCTCTGCAGAAAAACGTTTTTCTAAATTAAAACTGTTAAAAAATTATTTAAGATCTACAATGTCACAAGAATAATTAAATGGATTAGCAATTTTGTCAATTGAAAAACATTTAGTAAAAGAAATTGATTATGAAAATTTCATTAAAGAATTTGCTTCTAAAAAGACTAGAAAAATTAACTTTATGTCATAAAATATATTCACAAAAAACTTATACATAAAAAAAAATTAATTCCGCAATTTATAAACTTTTTAGCTTATTATTGCCGGTCCCAAGCCCAGATAAAGGAGGAGGATTTATAACATTAAGTATAGTAAATGTCAGAGGGCCCCAAATTTTTGGTTTGCTTAGAGCCCCCAAACTTGTTGAGCCGGCCACACCATCGTCCTGCCACCATCAGCGCCGACTCCATCATCTTTTCCCTGTTTTCGTTTTTGTTTGTTGACATGCACATCGAATTATAATAGAGAAGAAGGAATTAGAGGGTCTTGGCCGTGATTGGTTAATAAGATCAAGAGTCGGGACTCTATTTCTAAAGAAGGTTGTCGGCGATGATACCAGATCTTGGAGGCTGGTACTTTCCCGGAGCTTGGAGGCTCGATATTCTTCACCTTCTATGCTTCTCGATTTTGAGAGAGGGAAAAGGGGTGAAGCGATTTTGAGAGAAGTAAAAGGGGTGAAGCAAGCAAAGAGCATGGGAAGGGGCTATGTTTTTTATTAATAGAAATAGAGATTAGGATGGTGTCGGGGATGAGGAGGGAGGAAGGGAGCTCCGATATTCTTTGTTTACACACACGTACACACAAACACACACACAGAGAGAAAGAGAGAGAGAGAGAGAGAGAGAGAGAGTATGAGAGACAGAGAGAGAACGGTTTCCAAAAAAAGGGGGGACTCAAATATAGAGTCTCAACTCTTGATCTTGTTGATCGATCACAACCAAGACCCTTACATTTATTCTTCTCTATTTTAGTTCGATGCGTTGGTCAGCAAAACAAAAACCGAAAACAGGAAAAAGATTATAGAGTCAACGCTGATGGTGGTGAGACTATGGTGATGAATAGGATTGGGGTCACTTGTGGCTGAAAGATAGGCCGATGGTTTATTGATTGCATTTTTTGACGCTTCCCCCTCCTCCCTATTCATTGTTTTGTGAAGTTCGAAGAACAAGTAAGAAAGCCGATTACTAGGTTATAACATCGTGATTTTTTTACCAAAACTTTTTCGTTTTATTTAAATCACTTTTAACACAATACGTTAACGGAAGACTTAGTTATTTATTTTAAAACATTTTCAAATCACTATGTTACTTTAAAATCAAAATTATAATTCCAAACCATTTGAAACATACAAAAAGTAAATGTTAAAAATGCTAAAACATCAAACTTGTCTATATTGGTGTCATCTAACCAAACATAATTACCACAAAAGTAACCTTTCTCTCCAAGCAGAAATCCTAAGCTACCTGCACCAATCCTAAGGCAAAATTAACAAGAAACAAGTGTCAACCCATGCTGAGTGATTTCATAAAGGTTGCATGTAAAACATACAACTCTAGATGGGTCCATCATTCATATTACAATAAAGTATGAAAAAACTACCACTTAGAAAACAACTACATATCATAATCATTCAATCGCATGTTCAACCGTATACATACATATGTTCAATTGCAATACTACCACATAACATCTATGATCAACAACATACCATATAAACAACTGCATAACATATAAACAATCACATTTCATATATAACCAACCTTTTAATATATAACCAACCTTTCATTATATAACATTTTCATATATAACGAACCTTTTAATATATAACATATAAACAATCACATTTCATATATAACCAACCTTTCATTATATGTAATTCAACCTTTTAATTTAATATACAGTCAGCCTTTTACTATATAATCAACCTTTTCATATATAACCAACATTTTGTTATATATGATCAACCATAAGATAGGTAATAGTCGCTTAGTGCTACCTAACCCAAGAGAATTACCATGTTCACTACTCAAGTGCTCAACTAGTCAAATGATCTAAGTGGCTTATGACTTACACCTAAAACACCAACTCCAAGACTCCACTTTTGCTACCTCGACTTTGCAAAATACAAGTACTTCATAGATTCGTTCAGGAACCGATAAAAACGCCATCACTACCTTAACACCTCCCGATACCCTTGTGATGCTTGCACTGATCCACAACTAAAGGACCAACATTACTCCAGTCCTTGAACACCGTACTGTCACGGGGTCTTCTAGATAGACCAGGCGACTTGCAACCTCTATGGCTTAAGTTTTTCCTGTAGGTACTCTTTCAACGTAGTAGGCATCCTCAATAATCTGGATAAGGTTTTAAGCAAAGATGATCAACAACCCAAACCCTCTATCATACCCCGCAACAACATCCATACAAAAAGTAACACATGAAAGTTATAACACCTAAACGAGTACTAACACATGCATCATATTCAACAATAAAACATATAAACATAGTCATAAATCATTCCCATAACTACATAATATACATCAAATTCATCAAAGTGGAATCAACATAACAATTAATTTCGAATGTGTCACATGACTAACGAGCATACAGTAACATCAAAATTATCACATCATATTAAAGCACAAGCAATATACAAAGTTCATAGCTTAGTACAATAAATCTCAGTTTAATACACAAAAAATATGCATTCACATCCATATTATAACTTAACACTCTTAATACAATTAATTCACAGTTTAATACACAAAATTTACAGCTTAATATAATGAACGAACAATTTAATACACAAATTTCACATCTTATATTGTTAATTCATAGTTTAAACAAAAAATTCACATCTTAATAGAAGTTAACACTAAGATTATAAAAAAAACAAATAAGAGATTAATTCACACCTTAACAGAAGAACGAAAACAATAAAAAAAATGCATCGTAGAGATCTATAATAGATGTAAGTAGAAAAATAAATATAAAACATGCATTGACAGCTTAAAACTTATAAAAAAATCATATATTCACAACTTAAACTTGTAACAAATCATGTATTCACAACATAAAACTAACATTTTCTTATTCATAACATTAAAAACTAATATTAACATGACTAAAAAATTAATAAAAACATTTAAACATCACAATTTACAACTTAAAAAACCTAGATTCACATTATTTGAGAAAACATTAAAATTAGTAACACATTTTAAATTCAATTCACATAACAACTAAAAAACCTAAGTTATGAAACAAAAATCTATGCAAGTATCATAACAAATAAGAACATAAACTTGGATTCACGTATTAATAACATTGGATTCACTACTTAATAGTAGTTAAAACTAATATTAAGAAAAGTAAACAATAAAAAATATATTAAAACAATAAATTCACAGTTTAACAAAAGGAAAAATAATCAACACAAAAATTGACATACCTGATGTAGATCTGGTGGTGTTTCACTAGAGATCAGAGAGAAAAAGATGGAGACAAGTTGGCGGTGTTTCACCAAATCTGAGACTTGAAGAAAACGAAACCAGATCCCGTCAGAGCTTGTAGACCTGTACATTGATGTTGACAAAATCGCAGATCTAGATATTTATGGTGACGAAAATCATAGATCTGGACTAGAAAACTTCTAATCTTGCAGTGGAGGAAACAAAGATGATAGATCTAGTGCGAGTAAGCTCTGATGCGACGTAGACGGTAATGTTTCACTTGAGATGTAACCTGAAACACATCAGATCTAGTAGTTTTTCACCAAATATCAAAGAGGATGAGAAGGAGGCGAGAGAAATAGAAGGAGGCAGCACATCTGATGGTGTTTCACTGGAGATCAGAGGGTGATGATAACAGCGGTGACGATCGTTGACGATAGTGGTGGATCTTCGTTGCTTGTCGGAACTTGTAGATCTCGAACAGAAAATCATAGATCTAGTGGCGTTAATCGTGGATCTGAAACTGAATATGTAGATCTGGAATCATTTGGAGCATACAGATCTGATGGAAGTGGTTGGCCGGTGGTAAGAGGCGGCAACAGCGGTGGTGCGGTGGTGGTGGTAAAGTTGGTGTGTTCTTCAAGTTTGGTGAGAGAGTTTGAAAGAGTTTGAGGGTTTGAGTGTTTGACACCTGATACATAATAATGAGTTTTAAGTTTAATTTGTCAAAAAAAGTGGTTTTTAGGGGTCCTTAATCTTTTTTGGTTTTCATTTGAACCTTTACCTATATATATATATATATATATATATATATATATATATATATATATATATAGGGAGATGATCCAATGAAAACATCTAAAAGGCTGAGAACGCGAGAACAATTATAAACCAATCATTCCATAAGGGTGTTAAAGGAATTTTACAATGTAATTAAATATGGATAATTAATTAATTCCTACAATCATGGGAAGTTATCTAAATAATTGATTTTTTTACCTAAATACTAGAAATAAATTCAATCTATTTTTAATCAATCAGATTATTAAAAAAAACGTTTTTACCATGATTAAAAAATGTTTTTATTTTTTACTTTTTACCAATATATCAAAATGATTGATGAATTAATCATTTCAACCGAATATGTGTAATCATACAAAAATAAAAACATATTTGTAGTCATATACGAATCTGTTGTAATCGTGAATGAATAGATGAATTAAGTTATAATAATAAACAAATATAACACAATTTATAGAGAAAAATTACAATACGACTATAATCATAAATAAATAAAACATATTGGATTATACATTTATTCATAAATAATAACACAAAAAGTTACAATGTAATACATATCTATTTTTCTATAATCACATTTGAATACAACATAAAAAAATTATAATAAAAATAATTAATTATTATTATTATATAATCATAAATGAATAAGGCGAGATCTTTTCCACTTTGTATTGTTTGGTTGTATATTACCACTCCAACATTCCGTTTGTAGAAGCATCTCGATTTCCTCTACACACTGTCAAATAAAGAAATAAATACAGATAACAATCAACTAAATGAAAAAGATTTAGAAAAACACATATGACGTCAAATTATATATGAAGAGACATGAACAAAATATAAAATGCATATGAAATCCTATAATTGTAATTATACTCATAAATAAATATATATCATTAATCACAAATGAATACACTTCTAATCATAATCAATACCACTCTAATCATAAATGAATACCATAGCTCCCGATCCCATGAGGCACATGACAAAACCCATTGCTGACTTAGAGAATGTCACAAATAAGATCAGAATTACTGATTATACTCTTTAGGAATAACAACTTATATACTATTTTAGATATAATAGGTTTATTGAAAATATAAAAAGAAAAATACACTAAGCATTTCATCAAACAGGTTGTATGCATACAAAATATGCAACAATTTGAAACTATTATCTGGTTTTTTAGGCTCATCACGCCATGCAATCTGCATATCTAGAAGCTCAAATAAAGTACCTATATCTTCTGCAAGACTCTGGCCTCCATGTACTCCATTTTCATCAACCAAAGATCCAACTCCTTCCTAAAAGTAATGTAAATAGTTAAACAAATCTGAAAAACCGTAACGAAGTAATCACATCACCCATATTATGATGGATTTCAAAAGTAATGTTGATGAAATTAAAGCAAGTAAAGAGAAAAACCCTAAGCGATCCGTGTAAGTTCAAGGATTGAAGTAGCCAGTTATAGCCATTGGTTAAATTGAAGGGGATAGGGTTAGGATGGAGGTCCTTCTTCTGCTGTTCCCCACAGTATATGCAAATCAGTGGATGTAAGCATCTCAGGAGCTTCCCTTGACAATATTTGCATCTCAGGTACGACGGAGACGGGTCAAAGGTGGATATAGACTCCTCAACGGTCGGGGAAGTCAACGTCCTGCAACCATCTTCGGTGAAGCTTGCGTTGGCGGGTCTAGCACAACTGAAGGAGGCGGCGGCGTTGCAGATCGGTGTTCGCGCGATTAGGGCTACGAAAATCGTAGCGGCGTGGGGTGTCTTAATCGGGATTTTTGCCGGAGATGGTGAGAACGTCGGCGATGATTCGGTGGCTAGGGTGTGGGGATGACGGCGGGTTCTGGGGAGTGAAGATCTTGATATAGGGTTTGGTAATCGACAATAAGCAGTAATATGGGTCGAGCGGAGTGAATGATGAAGTCGTAGGTTTATACAGAGAGAGACCGAGTGATTTTAGGAGTTGCTTAAAATAAGGGAATGATTAATTACCATGATACCCTTTTCTTATTTTTAATTCAAATTAATTGAATTTAAACATTTTAATAATAACAAAACTTCTAATTAATTATTTAGCCTTAGATCTAAGATAATAGATGGATGAGATCCGTTCTCGCGTTCTCAACCTTTTAGGTGTTCTCATTTGATCCAACTCCTATATATATATATATATATATATATATATATATATATATATATATATATATATATTACATAATTAATAACAAACTCCTAAAGGAAAAATAGCAAAACACATTGGAAGTAAATGGGTCAAGCATGGCGGCTTCCCAACCCATTGCAACCTGTTCGTCCATGCATAATGAAAAAGACCACAGACCATGGCTATCTTATGTTTCTTTGCCCCGCTAGAATTCATTCTAGGAGCGTCATATGCGTTCTAGGGCTCTAATTAAGGACGGACGTCAAAGTCATGGGTAACAAATTGCTAAGTCGTAACCAGTCCTCATCGTGTACACTAGGAAAGATGTTGGTGATTTTAGTGTCACCGTGACATTTTATGTAACTGGAATTAACATGGGAGCTAAAGGGCTTCAAAATTTGTACTCTAATATATGTACGGGTTGGTGCGGAGTGCACGCATGTATAAGATCAAATTGGAAACCAGTTCGACGACAAGTTGGGGTCCAGGGGCAATGCCCCTGGGTCCGAGGTTTCTAAAGGGACAACGTCCCTTTGGCGGGGTCTAGGGGCAGCGCCCCTAGCCGGGTCCAAGAGGCAGAGCCCCTGGATGGGTCCCGTTGAATTTTACATATGAGAACATAGTGGGAAATTCATATTCTTGAGGATAATTATGGTAAAACTAACGAAACTCGTTAGTTTTGGTAACCCTAAATCCTCATTAAAATCCGGATTACCCTGACTTACTTCCAAAGCAACTAATGACGGCCCAACCCTAATGAAACCCTAACCTTGTTTATTATATAAACGACTCTTCCTTTTGAGAAGGGACACCCGGAAATTAGTTCTCATTTTCTTCATACTCTCACAGAATATTTCTAGTAATTTGGCTTACGATTTCTGTGCCTAGAATCGTAAGTGTCCACTTTGATTATCCTAGGTTGAATTTCTTGTAACCCAGGCATAAGGTAGAAATATCAGTTCGGAAAGTGTTCTCACGATCCAAGTTGGTATCCAGATCTCCACTACAAACCCTACTTTTTCCAACAAAAGAATCGACAGATAAAAGAGCAAAAGAATATAGGGTTGACTCGGAAATTAAAGAATCGGGCAGCAGCATGGTTTCACGTCCTTCATGCAAATCTTACATGTACAGTCCTTGGGGTTGGATTCTAAACACCTATGGAGCGGAATAAAGAAAACTTACCAGGTTCGGTTCGTACATCGATTTTATGTAGAAAACACGTAGCAGAAAAAAGAGCTCAAGAACCCTAGCCTTCCTTCTTGATCTCTCTCCCAAATTTTCTGCTTATGTCTCCCTCTTTCTTTCGTTTCTTTCTTTCTCTCTAACCAGTGCAATACACAACGAAGCCAACTATCAACTCTAACGATAAGTATATACAATGATTAAGCATATACAAAATTATTCCTTGTTACCACATGGTTGTGATTTAAATGACAAGTTACAACCTTAATCCTTGAACTTTTCTCCTTATTCCCAAATCCACCCCTTTCTTATTTTCTTTAACTCCTTGTTTGGGAATTTCCATAATACCCCCTCCACTTTCATCAATATGTCAACTAGAACCTATTTCAAATCATTATGTCAATGAATCCAATTTAATATTTATATATGTATTATTTTCCATCTTTAATCCGTTTTAATTGTTAATTAAATCATGTTTAATCTCCTTTTGATTATTTTATAATTTATTAAGCATATAATCTCACACCATAAATACACTTACACACGTAAAGCTTAATCCTGCATACAGAAGACTAACTTCACTAACATGAAGAATTTGGGTTGTTACACATGTGCAATCAAAACTGAAATAAAATCAACAATAATTAGAAAGGGATGGTGATACATGAAGGTTGTTGATTCAACGATTATATTAATAGATTATGATGGGTTGACTCTTTCATCTCTTAGGTCTTGTCTTTCTCTATGTGTATGCTAAGATTAAATCCATTTTGTTTATATTTTAGATTCAATAATTTGATTGTGTTCATTTGTTAAACGAATTTGTCCTCATGTATGTCATTGTATTTTATTCATTTCTATTTGTGTTCATTAACCTAAATTTAAAACCATAAAAAATAATTTTTCAAAGTTGGTTTATAGAAATGTTTGTGACTAGTAGTAGTGGTGGTGGTGGACTGTAGTGGTGGTGGAGGGTAATTGGAAATGTTGAGGGATAGGGTGAGGTTGGACCTAAAAGCAATACACCAAAAGCATATCACCAAAAGAATATTATCAAAAGCATAACACCAAAAGGATGTTACTAAAGTAATATCACCAAAAGAACATCTCCAAAAGCATAACACCAAAAGGATGTCACCAAAAGGATGTCACTAAAGTAATATCACCAAAAAGAATATCTCCAAAAGCATAACACCAAAAGGATATCACCAAAAGCATTTCATATCACCAAAAGCATCCTATGACAAACATGAATCTCTATGCACATCCTATTCTAAGGGAACTACCCAGTTCACTACTTGTGTGCCCTCATTGTTGAATGCTCTAAGTGACTCATAACTTTCACCCAAAACACCAACCCCAGACATCCCATTAACTACTTCGACTTTGCAAAACACAAGTGATCCACAATGTCGTTCAGGATATGATACCAATGGTATCTTACATACATAACACCTCCAATCCAACGTGATGTTTGTACGGGTCCTCTTCAGTAGGACCTCACCACTCCAGTCCACGAACACTATAGTGACAATGTACGTGTACCATGTGTTGTGGGATCTTCTAGATAGATCGGGCGACTAACACCAAAATGGCTTAAGCTCTTTCTTTATAAGTCCTCTTTCAACCTATTATGTCACCAAAGGTATCCAGATAGGTTTTAAGGCAAGTGTCATAAACTACCCAACCCACAATGCAACACCCCGCAAAATTCAACAAATCATCATATTAAGCATGAAATCTCATAAAATCAACTAATATCACCATAATCACCAAATTCATCAACAATTCAACAAATCATAACCAATTAACATCATTTCAATCAAATCTATGTTAGCATACCATAACCATCATAATCATCAAAATAGAGTCAAATATCAATTTAGATTTAAGCATGGCAACTAGAAAAAAAAGAATATCAAATTAACACATCCTCCTCAAACACAAAACAATGACTAATTTAGACATAAAGTGAATCAATGATCCATATATGAAATGTATTTTTCAACTTATGCACATTTAGTGAGTAAAACTACTAACTCACCCTAGCCTTTGCGAATCTTTTAATAACATCAAGTTTTGAGTTGCTTTGAAGATGTCAAGACCTCACCTGATCACATATATTGTCAAGTTAATAAGTGCATTCAAAGTCCATAAGTTTATTGTTGGATTAGTGTCTAAGTCCATAACTATTTTGGTATGTACTTGACCCGATTATGAGCATGGTCCTTTTGGGTTGCCTTCACCATAGTAATATGTAGGATGAATTAAGGAGAGAAAGTTTTAATTATGATTTATTAATATATTATGAGAATAATATATTAAAGGAGAAATCATAATGTTTAATTAATATTAGTCAAGAATTAATTGAGAATTAATTTTGTGGCTAAAAGAGATTAATTAAACTTAGGGGACTGATCATGTAATTATAAGATAATTACATAGATGGGCTAATGGACTCCATAGAAGGTGGAGTGGACGAATTATATGGGGAAGCCCATAAGAATTCGTCAAAGGCTTCTAAAGAGGGAGTCCATGGGCTGCTTAGGGCTTAAGCAGTCAAATTAGGCTTTCCTTGTTAGATAACCCTAATTGTCTACCTATATAAAGACCCCTTGAGACCCAAAAACGTGGACAACACTTATGAAAGGGTTCTTAGGCATTTTTGGTGCCTCCTCTCGCCTTCTCCTTCATCCAAGTTGCTGAGTGGTGTTTGTGACTCCATTAGAGGTGCAACACTTGAGGCACTAAGCTTTCTGAAGCCAATCAAAGCAAGGAAATGATTGTTATTGCTATATAACAATCAAAGGTAATTCTCTAAACCCTAATTCAGTTCATAATATGTTAGATCTAGGGTTTATGGCTTTGGATAATCAATTGCATGTTCATTAGACAAACTAGATCCAAAAGCTATTAGGGTTTGCATGTACACCATAGGATTGATGTAGTGCTCAAAACCCATCAGTGGTATCAGAGCCTAGGGCTGTTTGTTAGTGAATTTGTTGCTAAATTGATCGAAAATTGGCTGAAAATCGAAAATTTTGGATTTTAAAGGCTGGACTCGCCGAGTCCATAGTGAACTCGACGAGTCCAAGCCCGACTCGACGAGTCAGAGGGTCAGATGGAGCAAAAGTCGCGATTTTCTTGCCTTTTTGCTGTGGGATAATTACCAAAACGTTTTTGATTGATAAAAATCGGATTTTTATGATATTGGGTGATTATCCTTGCCAAAATAAAAGATAACTTCATATTAATTGAATAATTATTTCCTTATATGATAAAATTTGATTATTTGAATTATTTGGTTAATTATCTTGCAAGAAATGGACTAGGTCAATATTAGATAACCACCAATTAATTGTTAATTGCCTTATTTGAATTCTTGATCTAGAATGTTCTTGGAAAACTTTCAAATTACTCCCTTTAGGTTTCATAGTTTAAATTTAAACTTAATAGTTTTAGTTTTTGAAATTTAAATAGTTGAACCA